GGGTCTGAGTGTGAATAATTCTGAGCGTGAGTAAATCTGAATGTGAGTGCGTCTGAGTATGAGTTTGATGGTTATGAAACTGGCCCTGAGTGGGTCTGAGTACGAGTGAGTCTGACTACGAATGAGTCTGAAGGTGGGTGGGTCTAAGAGTGACTGAGTCTGAGTGTGCGTAAGTCTGGGTGTGCGTGAGTCTGAGTATGAGTATGATGAGTGCGAGTCTGACTATGAGTGAGCCTGAGCACGAGTGAGTTTGAGCATAAGTGAGTCTAGGACATCCTCGCAATGTGGGCCCTCTGGGAGTGTGGGAATCAGCGCCTCGCCATAGACATCTTCAGACTCTGCTTTGACAGCTGACGAGTCTGACCACCCAAACACGCAAACCGCTTGAGACATCCTCGAAATCTGGCCCCCCTTAGGAGTGCTAAAACCAGCGCCTCATCTGAGACATCCTCAGAATCTGCTCCGAAAGCGGAGGACGTTCGCAACCAAAACAGGCAAACCGCCTGAGACATCCCCACCATGTGGGCGCGAACGGAGGCCGTGCAATGCCCCTGGCGGCTCCCCCCTTAGGAGTGCTAAAACCAGCAAGCCGCTCGAGACATCCTCATCATCTGCTCATCGTCAGCATCACCATCACCATCACCATCATTATCATCATCATCATCATCATCATCATCATCATCATCATCATCATCATCATCATCATCATCATCATCATCATCATCATCATTATCATCATCATCATCATCATCATCATCATCAGCATCAACATCTTCATCCGCATCATCATCATACTCATCCATCATTCACCATCACCATCATACTCACATCATACTCTCACCATACTGGGGTCATTCATCATCATGACCATCATCGGCATTGTCTAGTGCAGAGCGGGAGGAGGGGAGGGGTGGTCCGGCGCGGTCGGAGAATAACAAGAACCCCATCCTCTGGATATGGGGAACAAGAACCCCATCCTTTGGACATGGGGAACAAAACAAACATTGTAAGACTGTTCGCTTTGACCGGCTCGCGTGTCATTCAACACGTGTATCCCAAAACCTCGATACCCGCCCTCTTAGTTTCCGACCATACCCTATTGGGTATATATCTTCCTTACCTGCCATGTGTAATTGGTGCAGCCCCTAAAACAAGGGAAGAGAGGAAGCATGGAATAGGAGAGATATGGATGGAGCGCGAGAGAGATTAGAAAGAGGGGGACTAGGAGCAGAAAACACGTGGCAAAACCAGACGGGCTGATCGGGCGGGTAGACCCTAACGGACGGGTCGGGAAGGCGGGCCCAGACATCCAGGTCGAGCAGGCATGTTGCTGAAGCGTGAGTCCTGCATGAATAACAAGGAGGTCTCGAGCGATAGCGACATTTCCAAGTACATCGCAAGAAAAGCCAGAGCGAGAGCGCGATTCCTGAGCGTCGAGGGCGCGGCGTCATAATAAATTGCAAGGGAATGCCACGCGAGTGCGCGATTCCTGTATACATTGTAAGGAAATCCCGCGCGAGAGCGCGAATTTGAAATACCTTGCGAGGAAGTATCAGGCGGGAGCCGCTGTTGTTGAAAACCGGGGGCGAGGTGCACAATATGAAGAGGAAGGCTCTCCCCTGTAAAGAACCCGGTGCGAGCCCCAGGAGGAGCACTTCAATGGTCTGGGATCAACCACAATTATTAGAAATCAGAACTTGATTATCTGAAGGCTGTTCGCTCTCACCTGTTCGCGTGCCATTCAACACGTGTACCCCAAACCCTCGATGCCCGCCCGCTTCGTCATCGATCGTGACCCCCCTTGGGGGTATGTTTTCCCTACGTGCCGCGTGTAAGTGGCGCAGCCGCCAGAACAGGGGCAGGAAGGGAGGGAAAAAGGCAAGGGCGAGGGAGAAGAGTGGAGCACGAGAGACACTCTCCGGAGGGTCCACAGAACCAGACGGGCTGGTCGGGCGGGCGGACCCCAGCAGGCAGGTCGGGCAGGCGGGCCTGGCTGGCCGGGTCGAGCGGGCGGGTCACTGACTCGCCAACCCAGCATGAATCGCAAGAACAAAAATCGAGTGCTAGCGCGACTCCCAAATAGATCGCGAGGGAAACAAACGAGAGAGCGTGATTCCTGAGTCTAGGGGGCCACGGCGCCGTAATCAATTGCGAGGAAGTGCCACGCGAGAGCGATTCCTGAATACATTCCAGGGGAAGTCCCGCGCGAGAGCGCACATTTGATGAAATAATTGGTGAGGAAATGTCAGGCGGGAGCCGCTGTTGTTGCGAGGACTCAGACTGTCACTGATAAAAAGCAGGGTGCGAATCCCGGAAGGAACACCTTACTTAACAAACACAATGTGCATCGGGCAGGGGGCATCAACAATAATTGCTTTTAAGAAATGAGCTTTCACCAATTATCACTCTGAGGCTGTTCGTCCTCATGTGCTCGCGTGCCATGTAACATGTATATCCCAAACCCTTGATACCCAGCCTTTTGGGGGTATACTTCCTGACCTGGCATGTGTAGCTTGCGCAGCCCCTATATCAGGGGAAGGAAGGGAGGGAGAAGGATGGAGCACGAGAGGCATTCTCAGGAGGAGGGGGCTAGGAGCAGGAGCACAAGCGGCAGAACGAAACGGGCGGGTCGGGCGGGCCCTAATGGGCGGATCGGGCGGGCGGGCCCGGACGGTCGGTTCAACATGAATCGCGTGGAAATTCCGTGCGACAGCGCGATTCCGCAGTAAATTGTGAGGAAGTCCAAAGCGGGAGCTTCAATAAATGGCGAGGAAGTGCCACGCGAGAGCGCGATGCCTGGATAAATTGTAAGGTAGTCCCGCGCGAGAGCAGCGCGATTTTGAATAAATTGTGCTGACTTATACGGTGGGAGCCGCTGTTGTGGCAAACTGGGGGCCAGTACAACAATCTGGGGCGCCAGACATTCCCTCTTCAAAACCGGGCGCGAGCTTCAGGAATAATATTGTTATCGAAAAGCATAAATGTCGGCGGCGAGCGAGGGGTGGAAATGAGAAGAAGGCCTTCTCGGAAGGCGGCGGGACTTCTCAGAAGCTCTCGCGCCTTCCAAGTAGTGTTATGTGCCTTCGGGGTGGGCTCAAGGAACTTCTTCAGGAGGCCAGGCGGACTTCCGAGCCTTCTGAGAAGGCCTTCTCCTTCTCACTTCCCCCCCTGGGCGCGCCGCCGAATTTGGTTCTTGGGTCATAACCCGGGTCTCCAGCGGCCGTTCGGAACGATGCCGGCCAGCATCCCCGGAACGCCCTCGCCGAGGCGCAGCCGCTGGAACGCATCCCGAGGCTGGGAAACCGCCCAGAACCGACGGAAACGCCAGAAGAAGCATCGAACCTCGAGCCGCGAACCTCGAACCCTCTCGCCCGCCACCGGACATGGGCAACAGGCAGAGGGGATCAACAATAACTATTCTTTAGAAGCGAGCATTCGACATCCGCCCGAAGAGCTTGCACTCTGTACCCAGAAGCCCCGGGGGGCGGGTGAGGGTCCGAGTCGTGGGTATGGTATACAAAATTCCCTCCCTGGGGCGCGGTTTTGTATACTGAAATCGAGGACGGCAAGAAGGTCTGGTTCAAGAAGGGTGGTTTCGACGGCTGCCGGGGCGCCTCAGATCGTGCTGGGGCGCCTCAGGTACGGCTGGGGGGACCTCGAGTCCAGCGAAACCAACCTTGTCCAACGAACCCTTGTAGCAGCCTCCGATGAAAGAGCCCCCCGGACTGGGGCGGGGAGGGTCTGGCATACAACAAAAAAGCGAGGCGAGAATTTATCCATATCCACAGCCTGGGAACCAACGTCCTGGTGCCCCAGCGGGCGGTGGATATGGATTTACTTCGGCCCCTGGGAGCCCGAACATGTCCATATCCACCGCCTGCCACGATCCCCGAAATTGATCCTCCAGGCGGTGGTCATGTAGAACGTCCCGCCCCGGAAAAAAAAAACTTGAGAAAAACGGGGCAGAGGCTCGGCACCGCGGGGGGGGGCCTCCCGCCGTCCACGCACAGCTCGAAGGAGACCGCCTCCCCGGCCACCAGCCCCGTGCGCCTCGCGGGGGGGGGGGGGGGGGGGGTCGGGCCGCGCCCGCCGCACAACCTGTCGCCATCGCTCGGACGCCCATTTTCTCCGTGCACGCTTCGATGTCGCGCGCATTTGCTTCCGCAGGATGATCCAGGATGCTCCTCTGATGGGCCTATGTTCCACCACCGCTACCATAGGTAGAAGAGGGAGGTGGAGGAGGAGGACGAGGAGGAGGACGAGGAGGAGCAGGAGGAGGAGCTCCTCATCCTCCCTTCTCCCCCGTCCTACATATGGTAGTGGTGGTGGAAAATGTACCCATCACCCTCGGTGGTCCTCGCCGATATGACAACAACAAAAAAGCACACGTCCGAGGGATGCCGAGCCACGGGGCCCGTCTGACACCGCGGCAGGCGCTCCCCAAAGGGGCTCCTCGCCCTCGAGGATCGGAGGGGCTGCCGCCGAGGACTGCAGGCGAAGTCGCGCCAATCCCTGTCGACTGATGTGGTCATCCAGCTACGACTGCATCCCACACGAGCGCATGAAATCCGAAACACTGTATTGCTCGCGCTGCGCTGTCGCTTGTGGCGCACGATTACTCTGAATTGTTCTGGCGCAGTGTGTGGCGTGTTCCATTGTACCTGGTGAAAGCTGTTTTGCGTGCCGGGTCAATTCTACAGAGAAGCATCCTACGGAACGGAGCAATAGGTGCTGGAAATCGCGGGGGAGATGAAGCTGTGAAGGACAGTGTGACTCGGACAGTTGGGTCGATCAATACATGCAGACACTTGCACCGAGACAGCAGAAGAAGCACCAAACACTCATAACGCAAAAACAACCCATATGTGTTCTACTGGCATGTGCCCGAATCGACTTGCACGGAAACACCATGATAATGATCAAACATGGATGGCCATCTCCATTGCAGAAAACCGTATGTTGCTGTTCTGGAATAGCGCGCGCGCCCTGCAAACAACAGCTTGGCACACATGCAGACTGGATTCGCTGTCGCACCCGATCAGATGAGCGTTGTACACGAAGATGTCGCGCGGGTACCCGGGTATGTCGATGAAGCCGAAACCTTTCCTCGCAGCGAAGTCGCAGCGAAGGCATCACACAATCGCGGCAATTGGCGTATCGACTGTGGGAACGGTCTGCGAGCCCCGTCATTGGCGAATCCACCTCATCCCACAGCAGTCTGGGCTGCGGTGGTCTAGCGCGTTTCCTCTTCAAAGCCTCTGCTTCCCCTCCGGGGCGGGGTTCACCACTGCTCTTTCTGAATATACACCCCGCATACACACTCTTCTGGCCCCTAACCCGTGCCACTGCGGGTAGCCTCCACCACTCTTATGCAGACGTGCACATGCACTTGACGGCAAAATCTTGACCACGTTCGGGCGCCGCGCCAGGGCCCAGGCCTGGAACTCGAGCCCAGGCGTGGAACTCAAGAGGGGGAGAAGGGACGGGAGGAGGAGGAGGAGGAGGAGGAGGAGGAGGAGGAGGAGGAGGAGGAGGAGGGGAGGAGGAGGAGGAGGAGGGGGGAGGAGAGGAGAGGAGGAGAGGAGGGAGGAGGAGGAGGAGGAGGAGGAGCAGGAGGAGGAGGAGAAGGATGAGGAGGAGGAGGAGGAGGAGGAAGAGGAAAGACGAAGGGGGGGGGAGGAGGGAGGTAGGAGGAGGAGAAGGAGGAGGAGAAGGAGGAGGAGGAGGAGAGGAGGAGGAGGAGGAGGAGGAGGAGGAGGAGGAGGAGGAGGAGGAGGAGGAGAAGGGGGAAAAGGGTGCGCAAGCAGGCAGGTCCCCCTCTGCCCTCCAAGGCGGCCCGCCCCAGCGCCGGCAGCGCCAGCCGCGCGGGCCGCGGTCCTCTGGTTGTAGCTCTTGACCCGCCCGGTCACCCGCACGACCGCGCCCGGCGCGGGGGCGGCCTGACAACGGGCGCCCAGCGCAGCGGCTGGGACCCTCGAGCTCGGACCAGATCGGCTACACGCGAAAGGGACCTTTGGCGCGCGACTTTGAGGGGCCAAACCCGAGCGCGCAAGCCGCTGCCATCGCGTCGCGTTCAGCCATCTGGGGACCCCAGTGCGCCCGCACCAAAATTCATCCCAGCGAAGGGTCACTCTGACGTGTAGTCGGCCAGACCTCCGATCAGCCTTCTTGTTGCTCGATCCCGGCGTTGCCCCTCGGGAGTACGTATTCCGTTTACGACCTCTGGGGTCGCGGCTTCAGATGATCATCCGCCGACCCCAGTGGGGTCTACGGGGGGTGAAGCTGCTGCTCCTCCCCAAACTCTGGAGGTACGAAAGGGGTGTGGCATAAAGAGGTATGGTGCCAATCGTGGAAATGGCGATGCTGTCTGCGAGGAATCACATCGCCAAAGTCCTCTTTACATGAAACCAGCACCACACCCCTTTACACCATACCCCTTTTTCCTACCTCCAGACAAATAAAACAGGGCTAGGATCGGGATAAATCGCTCCAGAGCGTTCTGGAGCGCTCTAAGAGCGTTCCGGGACGCTCTGGAGCGGCCGCGGCGCCCAATACATCCTCCAAACCCGCCGATTCTCAGAGATTTCGAGTTATCCCGATCCGATTTTGTCCCGATCTTCGCGTCGTTTTAACAAACCCCTCTCCGGGAGGCTCCGTCCGGCCGGTTTGGAAGGGGGGCGGGGTCGGGGCGACCTGTGCCGGCGGCCCCGGCCAGCCCCAGGCATGCTCGTGGACGGCGGCCGACGGCTTCGAGATGGCTCCCCTGGGCCCCTGGACGATTCCGGGCGGCACCCCGTCGCCCCGTGATGGCTTCAAGACAGCCCACGAAGCCTCCAAGAGCCCTCCCAGAAGCCCTCCACGAGGACCCCCTCCAAGCAAAAAAAAGGCGGTCCTTACGAGGAAACCAAAATGTTTGGACAACTTGTTCAGAATCCGTGACCAGCGGCCCGAGACGGGCCAAGAGGCTTTCATGGGGCTCCACGACTGCTCCCAGCGGCCCGAGACGGGCCAAGAGGCTTTCATGGGGCTCCACAACTGCTCCAGGCAGCCCCGGGGCGGCCCAGAAAGCGCTCCTAGACAGCCCCCGAGGACGCCGAGACGGGCTCAAAACCACCCAGGATGGCCCCATGACGGCCCAGCACGTCCCCCACCCAGCCCAAGATGGCCCCATAGTCGTCAAGCTGTACGGCAGGAACAATCGATCGTAGGTTAGAAGCTGGAAAAAACGTGAGAATAAGGAAGAAGCTGAGAAGCATGAAGAACGGCAACACAACGTCAGCAGAGTGCGGATGTTATTCGAGAGATATGTTAACGGCTCCAAAGCGTGCCAAGGACCAAAGAACCCACGCGCACTACGGCGACTATGAGCTCACTGCGCCGCTTGCATGACGGGTGCGCCTGGAAAGTAATCCACGTGGCCGCAGAACGGCCCAGGAGGGCCCCCTGGGGCCACGCAGACGCCCCAACCTGGCCCCCAAAGGACGCCCCCCGAGGGCCCCAGCAAGCCAGACTTGCCCCATTCCGCTTGGACACTTCCAACCTTTGCAACCTGCGCCAGAGACCTGCACCTTCAACCCGAGACGGCCAAAGAGGCGCCCAGGATCGCCCCACGACGGCTCCCGAAGGCCCTGGGGCGGCTCAGGAGACGCCTAAGATAGCCCACCCATGCAAACATGGCCTTCACACGGCCGACAAGGCGCCGCCGACGGTCCAAGAGGGCCCTGACAGGCCCCCCTGGCACGATCCCAGATCGCAGCCTGTCGCCCAGAGCTTTCTTCCGCCCCCGCCTATGGCGACCTCCGCTCGTTTTTTGTCCAGTTTCGCACGCACGCTCGCGCGCGGCAGCCAACGTGGCACCAGCAAGACGAAACCAACTCTGGTGCCCGGACCCCTCTCTGGCACCACCTTTCTGCAACTCCCCGCGCACGCTTGCGCGCGGCACGGCAGCCCCCGTGGCACCAGCACGACGAGCCCAAAACTTGTGTTCGGGCCCCTCCCTGGCACAACCACCGTCGTTGAAACGCGCGCACGCCAATCCTCGTAACGGACCCCTGGCGCACGGCGCGTCCCGAGAGGCGCGGCCCATGGAGGCCGTCTCGGGCTCCGTGTTGGCTCCAAGAGGGTTCCCTCAGCGCCCCCGCAGGGGGCCCCAACAAGCGAACATCACCCCATCCCCCACGGACGCCTGCGCCACGAAGTCAACGTTTGCCCAGTCCCTCAGGAAGCCTACCGTTTTTCGTGCACTCGTTCAGACGCCTTGCCCAGCGACCCGCGACGGGCGACGAGGCCTCCAGGAGGGCCGCACGACGGCGCTGGGCGGGCCGCACGACGGCGCCCGATACGGCCCGCAAAGCGCCGCGGAAGGCCCAGGAGAGCCCCTTTAAGCTCTGCATTGGCTCCAAGAGGGTCCCCTTCTGGACCCCGCGAGGGCCCCAACACGCGAAGATTACCTCATCCCCTACGGAAACATGCGCCAAGAAGCCGGCATTTGCCCACTCCCTTCAGAACCCCCCCCCCCACAACACCACCAAGTGACCAGGCACTCCGCACAGGGCAGACCCACGAACGAACTAATTCAAGGGATCTGCGGGTGTGCTGTAAGACTGCAGAATCACATCGTCCGGTGTGTGAGTTCTTACGGGCGCCCAGCCAGACCGAGCTGGACCTTGCTGAACCTTGCTTCGCGCGGGTGCCCAGCCCATCACGCGACCCTCGAACTGTGAAGCCCCGAAATAACGACACCACGACGCAAGAATCCTCAGGAGACGACTCCGATTGAATTCCATTGAACCCGAATGAATGGACGCTGAGCCAAATTTAGCAGCAAGTCCAGGACTGCCCGGCACTGGAGCGGCCTGAACCGAACATAACTACGCGAAATCAAACGGGCTGTCGACCACCCCTGTGCCAACACGGATGCGGATCAAAGCTTCGCAGGAGTTGAACCCGAGTCGATCCGTGGAGCCTCGAACACAAGACACCAGGACAGAACAAGCACTCCGCATCTGCACGCACCACCGGATCACGACACTTCCCGATCGCCTAGCACAGGGCTCTCTGCGAGACAAGCTACAGCAGGAGCTCGGCCACAAGACACCTTCCACAAGAAACCCAGCCCTGAGATCCCAGGACGTCCATTGACTTTTGGTGTGGGAGCGCCGCGCTTGCCACAGAAAACCATCGAAGCCCAAGAAGCCCAGGGCACCCTGGAGGCAAGCAGGGTGTTTCTTGGCATGGGCTTCCACTTTCACACAGGGTCCTCTGCGAGAAAAGCTACCGCCTGCGGACGAGCGCAACTTCCAGGTGTGGGGGCGCTCGCGGCTTCTCTGCCCCAGACGGTCGCGGAGCTCCAAGAAGCCAACGGCACATGGAGCATGACTTGCTGCGCACGCCCGCCCAATCCCTCGATGGCGTCTCCGCCACTGTGGGCTCCGAACGGGGACAAACGGAACACAGAGACAGCAACAGTCGAGAAGGACTGATGCACCCAACAAAAAACCTGAACACTTTTGGGAGGGGACCTAAATGAAGGAGGACCAACAGCATTAGGGATAACGGGCTCCTTTCTTTCTGCAGATGTATCGAACCGAACCGTCCAGATGTAGTATCCCTAATGCGAAGGCTGGGACCTCATTGACGTCACGTCTTCACTATTCTGAGGGTTGGGGGATCTTCTATTCTCGATGAAGGACTGCCACATGTCGGCTCAAAGTGAGGCCAACTTTGGGGTAAGCAAGATCCGGATAAGCGAGGGCAAGCTGCAACGAGTTGCGTGAAACCAGTTCAAGACCTGCAAGCAATAGTAAACCAAGCTCAAGCGAGGTAGACGGGTCTAAGCAATGGTGACCGAGAATACCCGCCAGGAGATGTGGGTTCGTCTCATGTGAGCTCAGTTGAACTACCCTCAGCATGCCGACCTGCACACGTTAGGCTAGGCCACGCAGTGGCAAACTCAGCTACAATCCAATGCTGCAGCTGAGCGCACAATAGCAAGCTCAAACCTAAGCTGAAACTGTCTCCGAACTGGATACGCGTCAAGTCAAGCTGGGCCAGACTAGCGCCAAGCCTGAGCTGGTCTTCTCCAGAGCCGCACTAAGGTAAGGCAGACATAAGCTAATATGATCAACAAAGCTGCGGCGATATAATCCAAGCCAAGAAGACGAGAGCCAGGCTAGGCAACACTGAGCTGCGCAATGCACAGGTCAGCGCAGCTTAACACAGCCCAGACAGGCCAAGTTCAACCAAGACAGCAACAAGCCAAGGCAGGCTAAGCTGACTGACGCTGACGTCACAGCTGAAGCTATCACTACCTATCAAACTAAGTTTGGAGCTAAACGGAAGCTAACACACGTTACAACATTCAGCACCCTAGTAAAATCAAGCGTGCGCATTGAAGGTATTGGCCAAGAAGACGCCGTACGCGCTATATCCATCAGAACAACCGCCGCAGCCAGAGCCGTACGCACAGGAGGCACAAGAGCCAAAGGCTCAAGACATAGATACGCCCGCGCGATACAGACCGCCACAAGAGACACGCCCCCGATTCCCTTGCATAGAGCACGACTCATTCAAGACATCCTGGCGCAAGCCAGGGTGGATAATGCCCACCCACCCCATGCCTTGCACATTGGCTATGTAGATCCTAGCGATGGGATCGGTGGCCAGGTGTTGGACAGAAGGGCGAGGAGGAGCTCGCCCCTAGTCCGACCAGCGGAGTGGAAAGGACTCGCCCAACACTGCGAGGACCGCCAAACACAGCCTCGCTCCCCGAGCTGTTCCGGAAAGTGCGCGAAGCTGCACCAAGTGCAAGCTCGTGTGGTAGGGCACGGCACCCACCGGCGCCGGCGGCCGTGACTGCCTGATGCGTCACGCCCAGGGTAGGCTCCGCCGTAGCGACTATCGCAGGCACCGATGATCTCAAAGAAGGGTGCGGTCCTCCTCGTCCTTGTCCACAGGGTTTGCTCGGTAGCCAGAGTGAACCAGCAAGCTGGAACACAAACACACACACACACACACATGGCTGGATTCGCATGTGGAACATGCGGGCAGGGTTTGCTCGGTGCCCAGAGCGAACCAGCAAGCTGGAAACATACACTTTTCCCGTCGGCGGCTGGGCAGAGGTTACTGCTTCGGCGATCTCGGAAACACACACACACATGGCTGGAATCGCATGTGTAACATGCGGAGGTCGTTTGCTGGGCATACATGTGGAGAATCACCGTGCCTGGCCATAGAAGGGCAGAGCGCTGGAACGACATCTGGCCAGATGTGTATCCAGTTCTCGCCCACGCGGGCCGAGTTGCGTATCCAACATGATGGTACTGGTGGGTGCACGACCACCCTCCCGCCCCCCCCGCGCCACGTGCGCGCAGCCTTCCCATCTCTTGTGTACTCAGCAGGAGGAGGTCAGCACGAGGAGAAGCAACCAAACCCCAGCGGCATTAATTTCCTGAGGAGTACCTCTTGGAGAGATTCCTCAGCACCGCCTCCTTCGTCGCCCAACCTGCCCATTCCCTCCTCCTCGTCCTCGCACTCCTGACCTTTCCCGTTTTTCTACTCGTCTTTCTCGTCGTTGTCCTCCTCCTCCTCCTCCTCCTCCTCCTCCTCCTCCGCCTTCCCCCTCTGCTCATCCTCCATCCTGCCCTGATCTGCAGCCCCGTCCTGAGGCGCAACCAACGCGGCAGACCGAGATCCGCCAGAAGGCCAAGAAGACCGTCCCCCCCTCCGCACACTGTTGCCCTCCCTCCCTCCTCCTGCCCTATCTCGCTCCACTTGCGCTCCCTCCCCCCTCCCTCCACACTGCCCTCCTCACCGTCCTCCCCTCGCTCCTTGCCCCCCTTGCCCTTCTATTCACCTGGCCCAACCCGTTGTCTATCCCTGCATCCCCACCCTCCGTCCCCTCCCTCATCCTACCCTCCATCCCGACGGGGACCAGTTCTTGATTGTCGGCCATGCCTGCCCCCCCACCAGGAGTTAAGACTTGCTCTTCCTCTAAGCCCGCGTGAACAATACACCCTCCCTCACTCCCGACTCTCCCTCTGGCGTCCACCTGCCGTCCCTCCGTCCACCTCCCCATCATCCGTCCCGTTTCCCGCCTCCTCCCTCACCTCCCCCCCTCCCTCCATCCTGCCCTCCCTGCCTTCCTCCCCTCCTTCCCTTCCCTTCTCCTGCCGAGCCTACCCTCGGTTGACTCCCGACTGCAAACACCCAGTCCTCTGCCCGACTCCCGCCCTCCTCTCCATGCCCTCTTTCCCTCCTCTCCCTAATTCTACCCACCCCGCTCTCCCTCCCTTTCCCGCCAGCCCTGCCTCCATCCGCCCTCGCTCCAACCTCCCCATCCCCTCTGCTGGCGTGGTCCACGATCTGCCGACCATCTGAGCTTGAGGTACAAAGAGAGGGCGAGACAAGCAATATGCCCCCCGGGGGATTGCACTTAACACGCCTGCACGGCACAGAAATGGTTAGCCCCGGGAGGCCTGGGCCAGCTTCCCAACCACATGGTAAGCAATCATTGTGCCCACGCAGTCAAATACTGAGCACTTCGTGGCAACCTTGAGGCCATTGAAGGATCACTGGGCAACAGCGACAAGGAGAGGATACTCAGCAATCGGCAATGGAATGGCATGCCAATTCTGTAGCCTGCGGTCGGCATATAATCGGCCGCTCGACACAATGAGGACAGACATTGGCGGCAGATGTGCTGCAGGCATTGTGTGGCGCAGCGCCACCCCGCAGAAGGAGCAAGAAAGTCATCAGCATTAGGAAGGTGTGCGTGGAAGGCCCGAGAGCACACAGATGCTACTTCTCTGGGCCGGCAGCAAGCGCGCAGAGCAAAGCGTGCAAGCCTTGGCGACCGAATCGATCTTTCGTGCTTGCCTGGCGCTACCGCGCATCAACATACAGCATGATCATGGTCCGGTCCTCCTCTGGTCCTCCTCCCCAGGGGCGGGGGTCCCAGGGGGGAGTCCTTTTCCTCCTCCTTCTCCTCCTCCTCCTTATCTCCGCCTCCTCCTCCTCCTCCTCCTCCTCCTCCTCTTCCTCCTCCTCCTCCTCCTCCTCCTCCCCCTCCTGGTCGTCGTCGATGTCTTTCAGGGTCGGCGGCACCGGCCGTCAGGCCTTCACAATACAACATAATCATGCTCCAAGCTCGCCCGCTATCCTGGCACAGCCTGTCCGGCAACGATGGTTTACTGGCGGCGTCGAAGAGAGCCTGGCTGACGCGTGAGTACAAGTGCAATGACTACACGCTGCTCGTCACATGAGCAGTGTTGCTCCCGTGGATCGGAATCCAAACGCAGCGTGAGAGAGCACTGGCGCCCCCTGCCATTGCCCAAATCCTCTGAACTTGACCAACGACGTGCTCCCCCCCACGTGCGGAAATGAGTACGGAATGGCTCAATCAGTCTGGCGCGACCGCTGTCTAGAATGTTGAATTCATACCATCTCAGTTCCGGAACAGCTCAACAGCACACAGGGTGGCGGTCGGCACAAAGCGTCTCACTTGTTATCCTGGCGTACAAATCCGCCACCGTACCCCTGGCACATTGAGGCGTGGTAGAATGCCATGTGCTGTCTGGTAGGGTTGTCAAGACAGCCGAGGCAGGTCACCAAGGCCGCGAAGACTGCCAAACATTGCCCTGAGGCGTTTTAACATCACCTCAAGATGACCCAAGAGGACCCCAAGGCGGCTCGAGGGGGCCACAAGACGGCCCGAAGAAGCCAACATCATGTACCTCCTAAAGAGGTTGCCAGACCTGTGGGCGCCTTCGCCTTTTCGGGCTTCCTGCGGCTCTGGACGGCCCAAGAAGCCTCCAAGACGGCACAGGGAAGCTCCAAGGTGACCCAACAATCCTCGAAGGCGGCCTCGAAATTATCACGTAGGCGGCCCGACACGGCCCCAAGAGAGAGCCCCAAGCTGCCCTACGAGGGCCCCATGCAGCAAGGGCAAGAGGGAGGCCCTCGACTGCCCCAAAACGGTCGCCAGTCGCCCCAGACGGCCAAGAGGGCCCCAAGACGGCCCAAGAAGGCCCCAAGACGAACCAAGCGGGCCCCAAGACGGCCGAAAGTAGTCCAAGGGATCCCCAAGACTGTCATACGGAAGCCCAAGAAAGGACCTACGAAAAGGAGGAATATGACGAATAGGAGAAGAGAAACCGCGACACGACGCGGACGAGTGTGTCACATGTTACGGCGTTCCCAAACCTCACACGAGGTGTCACACGTTACGGCCTCCTCGGTCACCCCCGCCCAAACGCCACCCAAGATGATGGGCAGGCACGGCGGCGGGACTTGCCGCAGGCAGCTGGATAGTCAACACCGTGCGTGCCCCTTGTTTTCTTGTGTGCGGGACACTCGATAGCAAGCGTGTCACATGTTGCCCTGGCCGCGTTGCTCACAACAGAGCGTGTCACCTGCTAGTCAACCAGCCCGTGGCCTCTCACGCCAACAATGTGACATGTTGCCCTGAGCGGGTTGCCCACTACAGTCCGTATCACCTACCACCCTGGGCATGGCCCTGAACGCCAACTGCCTCATCGGTTCCTCTGGCCGGGGCGCTCAACACACAGCGGGTCACCTGGTATCCCGGGTGTGGCCCTCAACGTCCACTGAGTCACTTCTTACCCTGGACGGGGTGCTCACCACAAAGCGTGTCATTTGTCACCCTGGGCTCGGCCCTGGACGCCACTCGCGTCACCTGCTATTTACCTTGGACGGGGCGCTCAATGAAAAGCGAGCCACATGTTACCCTGGGTGTGGGCCTTAAGGTCTATCGTGCCACCAGTCACCCTGGGGGTGCTCAAGGCACATCGTGCCACAATTTACGCTACCCTGGAGCAGGCCCTCAAGTGGGAGCGGGCCGGATGTTACTTCGGCTGTGTTCACACGTTGAGCCAGCTTTCCAACGTGGCCACCACGTACGGTCTAGCAACACTTTTCCACTGCAAGGATGCTATCGGCGATCGCGTGACTGCGACATGTCATGCTATGGTACGCTGTGCTAGACAACGGTATGATGTGAGAGGGCAGATACGCTATGCGGTGCGATGCTGCTCTAAATGGCATGCGCTGACATGTGCAATGATACGTTGTTCCACGCTACGCTTCGAATACACGTCACGCAATGCCAGGCTGTGCTACGCGACGTGCGTGGCAGCAATGTGTACATGTGAATAAGTGTATATACAAGTTTGTATATATGTATGTATAAGTTTACGTATTGCTATGCATGCGTTGCTGTGCTGTGAGGTGTCATGCTGTACGACGGTAGATGCTTCGCAATACGATGTGCTATGATATCTGGGACGCGGCACCGCTACATTGTATGCTATGGTCTCTATACTATTGTATGCTGTGCCATACTCCTCTCAGATATGATATGGTGCTCCATGCTGTGCTATCCCAAGCTGAAGGGGAAACCGGAGCCGAGGAGAGGAGCCAGGGGCCGAGGAACCGGTGACACGAGCACACGACCCGTAGCATTGAACAAACAGATCCCGCCAGCAAGTCGTAATGTTGGAGAGAGTATGGGCGCCCCTGGGAAAGCCTACTTCGGGTGTAGCATTGGCCGTTTCGTGCAGATGCAACTTGCGCTCGCACAATTCAGGCCATCCACTGACCTGTGCCGAAGTGACTCCGCGATGACAGGATCGATGTGCTGACACCCGACGCGCACATGCGCCCCTCAAACTTTCAGCCTGGGCTTTCCCTTGCTGGAACGGACGCCCGGATACTGCAACCTCCTCCACCTGCCCAGCAGCCCGCCATCGCGGCATCAAAACATGTGGGTACGACGCGCAAGCGGGGCAGGACGAGTCATGAGATCACAGTTGCCACACTGTGCGCGACAAATGCCCGGCGGCGAAGAGAGCAAGGACGCACACGAGACAGAGTAACTCGCCCCTCCGCTCTGGCTCCACTTCGGCATACAGGCCCCCCATGCGGCCTGATGCCGATGAGAGGCGCGAAGAAGTCTTCACCAAGTCTTGGCAACGCCTGGATACAACATGCTCTGCCGCAGTGCGAGACAGCAGCGGCAAGCAAACATGCGACAACACTCCCAACTGGCGACTTCACCATGTAAACCGGCAGCGGCCGAAACTGCTAGTCTGTGACTTGGAAGTCCTCCAGAATGAATTGCGAGTGATGGGCCTGTTCTCCACCACCACCACCACCCTAAGTTGGAGGGGGGAAGGAGGAGGACGACGAGGAGGAGGACGAAGAGGAGGAGGAGGAGGAGGAGGAGGAGGAGGAGGAGGAGAATGAGGACCCCCTGCCCCTTCAACTTATGGTGGTGGTGGAAAACAAGCCCATCAGCGAGTTTTGAAAAGACAGCACCCTCCAACGTCTGTGGGGGGCGTGGCCTGGGGACGATCGTGCTGGCATCCAGCTGAAGTCACTCCCCCTCCTCCTCCTCCTCCTCCTCCTCCCTCCCTCCTCCTCCTCCTCCTCCTCCTCCTCCTCCTCCCCTTTTAGTCCTCTTCCGCTTCCCCTTCCGCCACACCATCCTGTGCCTCCTCTTTTCTTTGCTTGTACTCTCCTTCCCCACATCCTCTCTGGCCCTCCTCCTCCTCGTTCTTGCTCTCCGCCACTCCCTCTCCTCCTCCTCCTCCTCCTCCTCCTCCACCACATCCTCCTCCTCCTTCTCCCCATCCTCCTCCTCCTCCTCCTCCTCCTCCTCCTCCTCCTCCTCTTGACCACTCCGTCCTCCTCCCCTGATCCTTCTCCTCCTGCTCGCATGCCCCTGCCGTGATGTTGATGCTGACGCCGGTGCTGCCGCCTCCGCTCCTCCTTCGTCCCTCTCTATCCCTGCTGGCCTGCCTGCATCGTACAGAGGGCAGCACGGCGGAAGCAAGAGGACAGGGCGGGCAGTGTCCAGCACGAGTACCGCCGACCCGTATCGTAAGGATGCGCGGCAAGGATGCAGAGGGCCTTGGAGGCCCACGCGAGCGTTCTTCGAACAAGGCTGGCCAGCGAAAGTCGCTGAGGATGGGGCGAAGGGGCAAGGATGCACGGGTGCCCTCGGGAAGGTTGCCCGTCCTTACTGTGCGGGCTGACCGCAGGACGAGGATGCCCAACGTCCGTGCAGCATGTGCTGCGATGACGAGACAAGTCTTAGGTCGGGCAAATCCCCCACAGCGGGATTTTGGACGAAACGTTAAAACTTGTCAAATAATGCTCAAGCATAGTCAAACAAAACATCGTCCCCAGACTATGTTATACTATTTGGGAATATTTCTTCTGTGGAGGGACAGGCCCGACCTAACCGTGGAACGACGATGCCCAGAGTCCGAGCCTGAGCAGCACGTGCTGGGACGACGAGGCAAAGTCCCGAGGGCCAGCGGGCAGCCGATGCACGATCGGCAGAGGCACTGCGACGGGCAGAGGCACCTATGGTTAAGTCTGGCGCGTCCCCCTGCAGGCCGATTTTGGACGACAAATAAAACGTAGTCAAGAGATGCTCCCAAAATGCCCGAAAAGACTAGAAACATCGTCCCCTGACTGTTTTTTACTACTTTTGAAGATTCTTGCTGTAGAGGGACAGGCCCGACTTACACCTATGTGGGCGGACGCTGCGCAGCAAGGTGGGCGGCCTCTGCGAGCAGGCATGGCAAAGGCTCCCAAAGCAGCGCGCAGGTCATTCATCACATCAGACCCCAGACATGATCGCGTCGTTTGAAAATCAGGACGCGAGGCTTTTGCCAGCTTCCAGCCTCGGAGGGCCCTCGCTGGGCCTCGGGACCGTCAACAAAAAGATTCGGGATGGAGAGCCGCTCCCGGGGAGAGGGTCGGGACTTCCAGGGACGCCTTACCAGCCTGGAGCATATCCCTATCCCTATGCTGGGCACCTCCTCATCACGATGCCAATCTTAGGGATTCCCTTATGTTTTGAGGGCGAATCCCCAAGATTGTCATCGCCTTTGGCCGTGTCAATCTTAGGGATAGGGATACGCTCGAGGCTGGTAGACGCCGCGCCGACCAAAATCAGGACGACGCACGTCTGTCGGGTCGGGCGAAAGGGGGGGATAGCAAAAGGGGGGTTTGAGAATCAGCTCACATTAAATTAGCTGATTTTCCTGGCGCCTCCTGGCGCCAGAGGCGGCTATGTATCGAGGAATGGGCCCCTCGGCGGGGCCGACACCAGCTGCATGCAGCAGATTTCGTACCCCCCCTTTCCCAGTCCCCCCCTTTCGTCCGGCCCGAGGAGGAGGAGGAGGAGGAGGAGGGGAGGAGGAGGAGGAGGAGGAACGGAGGGGGAGGAGGAGGAGGAGGAGGAGGAGGAGGAGGAGGAGGAGGAGGAGGAGGAGGAGGAGGAGGAGGAGGAGGAGGAGGAGGAGGAGGAGGAGGGAGGAGGAGGAGGGGGAGGGGGAGGGGGAGGAGGAGGAGGAGGAGGAGGAGGAGGGGAGGAGGAGGAGGAGGAGGAGGAGGAGGAAGGAGGAGGAGGAGGAGGAGGGAGGAGGAGGAGGAGGAGGAGGGGAGGAGAGGAGGAGGAGGGGAGGAGGAGGGGGAGGGGGAGGGGGAGGAGGAGGAGGGAGGAGGAGGAGGAGGGGAGGAGGAGGAGGAGGAGGAGGAGGAGGAGGAGGAGGAGGAGGAGGAGGAGGAGGAGGAGGAGGAGGAGGAGGAGGAGGCGGAGGAGGAGGAGGAGGAGGGGAGGAGGAGGAGGAGGAGGAGGAGGGAGGAGGAGGGAGGGGGAGGGGGAGGGGGAGGAGGAGGAGGAGGAGGAGGAGGAGGAGGAGGAGGAGGAGGAGAGGAGGAGGAGGAGGAGGAGGAGGAGGGAGGAGGAGGAGGACACCACCCGTAGGCGTGGCGAGCGGCGGCAGCTGCAAAGAGCCACGCCTCGGCGACGTCCCGGAAGAGGGGCTGCTCGGCGGCCTGCCCCCATCCCCCACAGGGCTCTCTCACGCTGTGCCTGCCATCGCTCGGGCGTCCCTGCCCCGCGCATGCCTCGATTTTTCGTGGGTGCTTTCGTCTCGCGGGATGGCCCGAAGTGCTCCCCGAGGGTCCTCGCCGGAAAAAACAGGGGGCCACGTGCGAACCCTGCCCCCACCCCCCACGATTTCTGAGGGGGAGGGTTCGCATGTGGCCCCCCAAAAAATGCACACCGTCCGCGCAGATCCTGCGCCCCGCCGCGCCCAGAGCGAACGCCCCACGCTTCACCGAGCTCGAGCCCCAGCGGCACGTAGACTCCGACGCCCTCCGGGGGCGCCTCTCCGGCAGCCCTGGAGCCAACAGTGCTTCGGGAGGCAGCTACTGGGAGGTCCTCGTCGGGAGGATTTTTGAGGAGGAAGCCCCATTGGGGGGCTGTTGTGCCGGATCGGGCCTCGGACTGAGCGGGATGAAACCAGATTGAGAAGGGTTCAGCGGGATTGAACCGGATCGAGCGGGATTGAGCCGGATTTCGGACCAGGGCAAAGTGAGAATATGACCTCCCAGGAGATGCATCCGAACAGTAGGAGGAGGGGGATCAGGCTGAGAAGGAAGAGGAGGAGGAGGAGGAGGAGGAGCAACAACGCGAGGACGATAACGAAGGTACTACGGCAGTTCCGTGTCTTGGCGATTTCGGCGTTGGTTATGACACTTCGTGCATCGTTCAACCCTCGAAGACCTCGGATTTCCGATAGTGCAGATCGCTGGATATCGACAAAATCGGGGCCCAGCCTGCAGCGTTCAACCTGAAACGCCCACGCTGGGTTTCCCGCTGGGTCGAGTCGGCGCGAACCTGCTGTACCAAGCATACGCCGAGAGGTAACTGCACACCACCAGGCCTGGCCAGGGCTAACCTGGGCCCTGGCATTGCGCGTATGCCCTCCCGGCTCAGGCCAAGGGGGAGGTTCACAAACCATCCTGAGGCCCAGGAAAGTCCCGACCAGACATGTATTGGTGCAAATGGGTGACCTTTCGGGACCTGCGGAGGAGGATGAGGATGAGGATGAGGATGAGGATGAGGATGAGGATGAGGAGGAGGAGGAGGAGGAGGAGGAGGAGGAGGAGGAGGAGGTCGACGACGACGAGGGCACTATCAGGCAGAATGGCAACCACTCAGCGTGATCACGGTTTCTGAATATTTGAAGTACAGCCTGCCAGTCGCTAGCCTGAGAGCCAGCTTATCGATTCATACTGTTATGTCAGAGTGACGGGGCCGAACGGTCATTCACTGTCCCTGGGTGCGTGGCTGAAATGGGATTCCGCGGTGCGGATTCGTGTTGTTGTTGTTTGTTGATGTTTGTTGATGTTTGTTGTTGTTGTTGTTGTTGTTGTTGTTGTTGTTGTTGTTGTTGTTGTTGTTGTGGTTGTGGTTGTGGTTGTGGTTGTTGTTGTTGTTGTTGTTGTTGTTGCTGTTGTTGTTGTTGTTGCTGTTGTTTGTTGTTGTTTGTTGTTGTTTGTTGTTGTTTGTTGTTGTTTGTTGTCGTCGTCCCCCGCAACCCGCCACCCACCCGCGACCCACCCGCGACCCACCCCGCGACCCACCCCGGCGACCCACCCCGCGATCCACCCGCGACCCACCCGCGACCCACCCCGCGACCCGCCCGCGGCCCACCCCGCGACCCACCCGCGACCCACCCGCGACCCACCCGCGACCCACCCGCGACCCACCCGCGACCCACCCCGCGACCCACCCGCGACCCACCTTCGACCCAAACCACGTTCAAGGTACAAACCACCATTTTCGGCGCCTGCGGCGGTTTTTTTTGCATTCCTTCCAGGTGGAAAGCCCGCGACCCACCCGCGACCCACCTTCGACCCAAACCACGTTCAGGGTACAAACCACATTTTTCGGCACCTGCGGCGGGCATCTTTTGCATTCGTTTCAGGTGGAGAGCCCGCGGCCCACCCGCGACCACGTTCAGGGTACATACCATTGTTTTCGGCGCCTGCGGCGGGCATCTTTTGCATTCGTTCCCGGTGGAGCACCCGCGGCCCACACGCGACCCAAACCACGTTCAGTGTACAAACCAATTTTTTCGGCGCCTGCGGCGGGCTGCTGTTGCATTCCTTCCAGGCGGAGGTGGAGAACCCGCGACCCACCCGCGACCCAAACCACGTTCACTGAACAAACTAATGCCGCACAAGCGCGGCGGCGGATTTTTGCATGCCGTCTGAGCCCGCGACGACCTCTTCAAGCCCCGCGCATCCACACCAGCCCGTCCAGCAACTTTGCCCTGGCGAGTTGCCTTGATCAGAGAAGTCGGGGAGCATAAAATGAAAAAAAGGATTGCGTTGCCGTTATCTTGGGAAAAGGAGGGGGAGGCAGGAGGAGTAAAAAGGGGACGAGGAGGACGCGGAAGAAGAGAGGATGTATGGAGAATGTGGAGAAAGAGGAGGAGGAGGAGGAGGAGGAGGGGAGGAGGAGGAGGAGGAGGGGAGGAGGAGGAGGACGAGGAGCGGGAGGGGAGGAGGGGGAGGAAGAGGACGAGGAGGGGGGAGAAGGGGGAGGAAAGGGAGGAGGGGGAGGATGATGATGATGACGACAATGGGAGGACGATGATGGAGGCCAATGAGGGGGGAGGACGGTGATGGAAGGACGAGGGGGGGAGAGGGAGGACGAGGAAGAAGAGGAGGAGGAGGAGGACGAGGTGGAGGAGGAGGAGGACGATGACGATGAGGACGAGGACGAGGACGAGGAAGAGGATGAGGAGGAGGAGGAGGAGGAGGATGAGGAGGAGGAGAGCACCATCGACAGGGAAGGTGGGGGCCACGAGGTCCGCCGGCTAGACGACGCCCGCGTCGCCCGCGCCCGCCCCCTCACTCTTATTCGCAATTGCGGGGTGCTACGTAATTTTTACCGCCCCTCCATGTGAACATCCCGTTGCGTTCCCTAATCCTCGAGGCTACCTCGGCACGGCTCCCTCAAGGATTCTGATGACCAGTAGTGTGGCTTTTGCTACAGTGTATGTCGAAATGCGCGTGTGCCCAAACAATGATTACGCAGACCTAGCCCACCCAGCATATACAGCCGCAAATTACCATGGACGAATGCCCTGCGCCCCTGGTTAGGCGTACCTCACATTCTTGATGAGGGTTGTGCTACTACTTATCAGTGCGCTCCACATTCCCACTCCGCATGACAGCCCAGCGCTGCTGCTTTATGCCCACGCGGGGGTAGTCACACACCCTAATGGGCGGGATGCCCTTCTTTCACTGGGCGGCTGCTGCATGACTGCTGCAAGTCGCAAGCGCTGTGCTGCTCACCTGCCGACGCTGAGCCCCTGCGATCAAAATCAGACATGGGACGCGCAGAAAGATACTAATTCCATGCGTCCTCCTTGGAGGCGCGCGTCCGACCCGAGCACGCACTACACCCATATTGTAGCACATCGGGTCCCGACGGTGTGGCCCGAAACCGCCCGCCCCGACGCACGCACTGCAAGATTTCTCGGCGCGCGCGTGGCCCCTTGGGGGGCGACGCGCACATAGTAGTAGCATGTTGGCGCGCCGCCGAAGAAGAGTCAACACATAGCAAAAGACGCAAGGAGGAGGAGGAGGAGGAGGAGGAATTGGGGAATCGAGGAATAGGGGAATGGAGAAATGGAGGAATGGAGAAGGAGGAGGGGGAGGAGGAGGAGGAAACGTAAGGGGTGGATCGCGCGGGGGTGCGGGTGGGCTCCCCTTCGCAAGGCGCGTGGGAGGGGGGAGATCGCGCTCCGGGGGGGGGGGGGGGGAGGGGGCGCGGCGCGTGCAAGGCGGTGGGACGCAGTGGACAAAACATTGGCCTCGGGCTCCTGTTGCCCCTCATCTTCGAGAAACCTCTTTCTCCCTGTCCTCCTCCTCCTTCTCCTCCCCCTTCTCCTCCTCCTCCTCCTCCTCCTCCTCCTCCTCCTCCTCCTCCTCCTCCTCCATCTCCTCCGCCTCCTCCTCCTCCTCCTCTTGCGGCGTGGGCCGCGCAGCGAGTTCATCCCTCATCGCCTGAGCTGCGCCCTCACGGCACGGATCGCACGTTGGGAACCCTGCAGGGTTAAAGGTCGACTGCCGAATCGACGAGATTTCAGTCTTAGTCCGTTGTACAAAAATAAGCACAAGCGGGGATATTCAGGGAGGATTCCGCGGGTGTCAAAATTCCGAAACGCTCGAGAGGACGAGGACCGAGAGGACCCGCAACGGACTCCAAAAGCAGGAAAAAAGACGGTCAGCCCCAGTAATGGGCAAACGAATCTTCACCACCGTCCTCTGGGGGACACCCGCAGAAGGCATTTCGAATTGTCAGTCTGTTGAAGCCTACGCCGCGTTAGCAAGCTTTTCGAGGGCGTCCTAGCCGCGGCCGACGAGAGCGCGACAGGGAGGGAGGCAAGGGTAACACTGACCACAAGCCAGTCCACGGTGAGGATGCGAGCCCTTTCAGACGGGAGCAGCTCACAGAGACGAGCGGATAACAAGTTCCCAAGAGAGGCGGGATACACGGCCTTCGAGATACTGTGCACTAGGAGACGCTGATTTTTCGGGCGCGTTTTCTCATGGGGCTCACGGTGTGGCGCTGGTGTTCAGCACAGGCCTCAAGGAAGGCAGGACGACGCTGTTCTCGCGCCTTCGCAGGCACATGCGCGCCCTCGATCGCGTCGGACACACGCTGGTACAAGGCGCGGGTCTTCCAGAAATCAGGCGAGAGGTCTCCGCGAAGAACCGACACGTATGGACGGTGCCGAACTGGAGCAGTGTGCAACGTCGTGAGTGGCCCTCTCCATTCTCTGAACTGGGCTGCAAGACAAGTAGCTGGCATCGGCGAGATCTGAGGTCACCCACACTCCTGCCATTCGTACCAAGCTCCCTGACTCAACCCAGAGCATGGCATGCGGGAGACCCGCGGGAGCATCGCTGACTCGAAGCGCGGCAGATCTCTCGGCGCCGGCGGGAACTGAGCAACATAGGGCATGACAAGGGTGACGCGAGAGGCGCACAGGTTGGCAGATATCGCATTCGAGGAGCCAACTCCAGCGTGCTCGAACGACCGACGGCGACATTTGCGCAGCGGGCCTATCCAGCAGTGCTGCTCTGCTTCAGGACCAAGGGGCATTCCCAAATAGTTCAGGATCTCCAAGATTTGGAAGTCGGCCCAGGAGGGGGCAAGCGCTTTTAACTTCACCCGGTCGGTTTTTTGGGAGCCTCCGGACAGGGCCCCGCCAGGAGAAGGATTTGGCATTTCTTCGCATTCAGTAGTAGAGCAGCAAGCTTGGCGGCGAGATCGGAGATACGCGAGAGCTGCTTCAGGTACTGCAGCTTGAAAATGGCCATGCCAATATCCTCGGCACACAGACGAACCATGCCGCGGTGCTGGACTTCGATCGCGGTTTCGATCTGCCCGATGCAAATCGCAAAGTTCGCCCCAGATGCAGGGCACCCTTGGATGGTTCCCGCAAGGATTGGGAGCGCCAACATCTGTTCGCCTCCGAATTCCGAGAGTCACGAAACTCCATGCTAAAGAAATCTGACGCAGTCAAACAGCGGGGTCGGGCGGGCCAGCTCGGAGAGGGCGAGATGCATCTACCGATGCGAGACAGACGGGAAAGCCCGGGCGAAATCTAACGCCGCGAAAAGAGGCAGGTCCGCACCTGCAGATGGTATCATTCAGTAGCACCTAGCCATGGCATCCGGCATCCAATTCGCTGATGTTGACCCCGAATTGCCGCCCTTGGATGAAGCTCCTTTGGGGCCGGTTGGCCACTGAGACCCATGCCCTGGATGCGGGGGAATCGATCGTGGCGGCGATCACCTTGTTGTCGGTATTCTTCAATCCGAGGGGCTCGAAGCTTGTCTCAATCTCGGGCGCCTCCTCCTCCATCGCGATCCCCCTCCTCCTCGCTTTTCGGGGCGTAGACGCCCGAGGGGCGATTGAAGCCCCAGGGTGCCTGTCCACCGCCCAAGAGCCAGAACATCATTTCAGTCAGATAAAACTTGCGATGCTCGTCGAGTCCGTTGCCAGGCCGCGCAGGGGGCGCCGTCCCGGCCAGGGGCGCCGCGGCTTTACCTGCGCGGGATCGAACAAAGCAGATTGCGCGATGGGGGGCGTGCATCACCGAGGTCTAGATGCGATGTGAATATCTGGATGCGCGCCCGAGCCAGAGGCGCTGGCGTCGATTTCCCGGCAAAACCAGCGCTCCAATGCTGGTAGATCGCGTTGGCCATGTCCAAAGGGTCGGACAATAGTTGGCCACTTCTGCGGAGACCTCGCCCACGCAATCTGCGATCGAGAGGTGCCCAAATCATCGCCGTTCCCTGGGGCCCACGGAGACGCGGGCGAAGGCGCGCGCGTTCAGGTCCCTCAGATCTAGCTGATATGGCTTTTTCCCCCGAGGCGTTTCGCATTTGCAAAGCGGCCGCTCTCCGCCAGGGGGTCGATCAGATCGGAAAAAGCCCCAGGGCCCACCAAAGAGAGCGCCGTCATCGCTGAGCCCCAGGGACGACGCTGTTGCGGGAGATAACAGGAATGCGTCGACTTTCCCCCAATTTTCACATGTTGCATCCAAGCGGCTCGAGCAACCGATCGACGCGAGATGATTTGCCCAAGGATCGAATCAGACGGCATTCCCGGCGCGAAATGGGCCCTTCCGTCGGCATCTTAAACCAGACATGGCGCACGGGCGGCGAAATGTCCTCGAGGTCGGCTCCTTCGAGGTAGGCCCGCGCAAACCGAAGATGCCCGGGGGTGTCAAACAGGTCTCGATCGATGGGTCGCTCTTCTCGATGTTCAGGAGGGACAGGGTGGAAGTCAACCGCGGCGGCAGCATGGCCAGAGAGCTTTCGAGGTTTCACAACATCGAAAAGACCCTGGGTGACCCCACATGCATTGAATTGCCGAATCGCCCATCCAGGCATGGAAGCGAAGACCCGATCGATCATGCTCATCGTGTCATTCGGCGCGTAGATGCAGGCGGGGTCGGCCATCTGGATCTCGATCAAACGTCCCAAAAGATCTCCCCAAACGGCATCTTGAGTAGCTTGTACCGTCAGAGCTTCTTCCAAGAAGGTAAAGTCTCGCCGCGGTCTTTGTCCACATAGAACCTCTTGTCAGGTTAGGCCGCTTCGAACTCACGTCTGATGACCTTGATCCCCAACTCACGGCGAATCGCGCGGCTCTTGTCCGCCGAGAGAGAGAGAGAGAGAGAGAGAGAGAGAAGTCTGCGCGGCCACCAGCGGGCGCAGCGCGAAAAATTTGCGCCACGATCCGCAACGAAGGCGCATGGCGGACATAGCGCGTCGAACTGCACGAGCAGCGAGATGGGGCCGACCTGTGAACTGAATGATGTGCCTTTTTGCTGCAGGTCCTTCCGCCGATACTGGTACCCCGAAGTCGTCCACGTCCAAGTTGGCGCCCTGCATTCAAGGGGAAATTGCTTCACGTATGGCATCCGCACTGACGAACTCACGCGAGCGTACTAATTACGAAAACGGTCGGGTCCGCAGACCTGTCGAACGAGTTCGGCAACTCGAACTTGACTGGGGGGCGGCTCCGTCTTGACGGTGTGTTACTGGGCCTGCAGGTGCTTGATCTGGTCTTCCAAGCAGTTGAGTCGTCCACCGTGGGAGGCAACCTTGTGTTCAACGTTGCGCATGCGGGTCTCCGTTTGTCTGTCCACTCCCGGGGCGTGATGTGCAAATGTGCGAGAGAGTGAGGTCACACTGGATTGAATAGTGCCGATGGCGGCCATGACCTCATTCCGCGTGCTGCCAACGTAGGAGCGGAGCTCATCAGGATGTCCAGGCGGGGGCCCAGATGAAGAAAAACCGCCAATACCGCCCCCCCCCCCTGAGCACGGGAGCAAGCGTTTCCTCGGTACCTTGTACTTCGTCTTCAGGACCCGTAGGCTCCCGAATGCGAGAGCGACTGCGACCTTAATCAGAACCAAGCCGCGGCCACCTGCTGATCATTTGCTTCGAGCATTACTTGCCCTTTTGCGCTAGCACACAACGTGATAGCCCCCACGAATCCACACATTCCAGCACGCAAGGGCACGAGAGGCGAGAAGCAAGCAATGAGGATAATGCCGCCAGCGCATGACACGCTGGATCGCTCGAAAAAGTGCTGCCCGCTCGAGATGGGGCCTGCTCCCACATGAACCAAAATGGCAACGAAACCTCCTCCTCGTCCTCCTCCTCCTCCTCCTCTTGCTTGCCTTCCTCCTCCTCCGCCTCCTCCACCTGCTGCTCTTCATCCTTCCCCACCTCATCCTCCTCCTCCTCCCCCCACTCCTCCTCCTCCTCCTCTTCCTCCTCCTCCTCCTCCTCCCCCTCCTTCTCCTCCTCCTCCTTCTCCTCCTCCTCATCCCCCTTTCCTCCTCTTAGAAACTACTATTTTTAATTATAAATGGTTATTACTAGTACTATCATTCTTAATATTGATACTATTATTATACGAATGATTATTATTATCAGTAGTAGTAGTAGTAGTAGTAGTAGTAGTAGTAGTAGTAGTAGTAGTAGTAGTAGTAGTGGTGGTGGTGGTAGTAGTAGTAGTAGTAGTAGTAGTAGTAGTAGTGGTAGTGGTAGTAGTAGTAGTGGTAGTAGTAGTAGTAGTAGTAGCAGTAGTAGTCGTTGTTGTATTACTAATACTGGTATGGTTACTATCATTAAGATTATTACTATGGTTATTCTTATTATTACTATTCGTATTAATCTTATTATCAGTATTAGTACTATTATTAATATTAGTATAATAAATATTATTAGTGTTAAATGATTAGGATTGTTATTATCATTGTTAGTATTACTATTAGTTTCATCATTCTCACTCTTACTGATACTACTGATATGTTGGGTATTCTTAATATTGGTATTCATCCCCCTCCTCCTCCTCCATCTCCTCCTCCTCCTCTTCCTCCTTTTCTTCCTCTTCCTCTTCCTCCTCCTCCTCTTCCTTCTCCTGCTCCTCCTCCTTTTCTTTTTCTCCTCCTGCTGCTCCTCCTCCTCGTCCTCCTCCTCCTCCTCCTCCTCCTCCTCCTCATCCTCCTTCTTTTCCTCCTCCTCCTCCTTCTTTTCCTCCTCCTCCTCCTCCTCGTCCTTGTCCTCTTCCTCATCCTCCTCTCCCCCATCCTGCCTGCCCTCCTCCTCCCCCTCGCCCCGGCGCCCGTCCCACTCGCGCTGCTCTGCCGCTTCGCCGCCCGCCCCCGCTGCCCCGACCAGCTTGCGGATGCAGCCGCACAGCGCGAGCAGGGCCTTCCGGGAAGGAGAGGGGCGGAGGTGGTGCGCAGGCGCGCTCGAGCGACGCAATATTGGAGGGCTGGAAATTGGCACCAACACCAACACAGGGGGTTGCCTCCACAGGGGGAAGGTAATCCTCGATTGTGGCGTCGGTGGAAATAGTTCGGTCACCTTGGACACCAAGATATGACTACCACCGCCGAGATCGGGATCTTCTTCCCTCGATGGAACCCCACCGCCGATATTGGTGTTGGTATCAACCCCTTGGCCTGCGACACTACAGAGGAGGGCCGGTCGAGACAACGGCGGCCCCCGCCCGCGTTTCGTCCTTCTCGCGGCCCTCCTGGAGGCCTCTCGCCACTGCAGGCTGGGCCCAGCCCCGAAGGACGGCTCAGAAGGGACCCCGGGAGGGGTCTGTGGGGGCGGTCTTCAGCGGATGTGAGCCTGGCAGGAGAGCTACCGTTGTCCTAACTGGCCCCTCCTCCGAGCAATACGAGACTCCACCGCTGCAGTGCGTCGGCACTACGGGCGCTCTTACGGAATGCTAAATGAAAATCGAAGCACTGTGCGCATGGGTGCACGAGAAGCACTACAGGAACAACCATTGAAGGGTCTAAGAGACCACCTTCTCAGCCCGAAGTGTCTCCTTCCTTCACAGTCCTCACTGCCCCCCCCCCGACACCGACACTGCTGAGAACTTGGCAGGGCGGAGCGCATCATTCTGCGCGCGGTGGTGTGTGAGGACGAGGAGGAGGAGGAGGACGAGGAGGAGGAGGACGAGGAGAAGGAGGAGGAGGACGAGGAGGAGGAGGAGGAGGAGGAGGAGGAGGAGGGGAGGAAGGAGGGAGGAGGAGGAGGAGGAGGAGGAGGAGGAGGAGGAGGAGGAGGAGGAGGAGGAGGAGGAGGAGGAGGAGGAGCCTCCCCTGTGCGCACCAAGCCCTGGGGAGACGTCTGCGGAACCATCGGGCGGATCCCGGGTGCACCCAGCCCAGACCCCCTGGCGTCGTGGAAAAACGCTACATCTCTTAGAAAGAAAAAACAAAAAAACGGGAACAACAAAAATCAGCCTCCAAAGAACAACTCGGGATGAAAAACAGGTCCTGAGGACGAGGTCGAGGCCTCTGGGCGTCTCCTTTGCGACCAAAGCGCACGGCGTCAGGGGTTGGGGATTAGAGGCCGCCTGGATAGGGTCGGAGTAGATGGGATGGCAGAATCGCGCCGCATCGCCGATACAGATGCATCGGCGATGCACCGGCGATGCACCGTCGACGTGGGCGATGCATCGGCGACGTCGACGTGAAGAAAATCGTGCTCCACATCAAGCCGCATCGGCGATGCATCGGCGATGCATCGGCGATGCATCGGCGATGCGGCGCGATCCTCCGACCCTATCTACTCCGACCCCTCGAGGAGGCCTGGAGGATGGTGGCCATCCCAGAGATCCGGGCACCGCATTTGTTCCACCCGCCTGCCCAGCTCGCCCGGAGTCGGGCCCCGGGGACCTCACGGGCTGGCATGTGACGAAGCCAGGACAAGGATAACATCGGGGGAGGATAGATCGAAAGCCAGGACGTTGGTAACTTTGGGGGAGGGCCCTCACGGATTGGCATGAGACGAAGCCAGGACAAGGACAACATCGGGGGAGGATAGATCAAAAGCCAGGACGAGGGTAAAATCGGGGGAGGGCCCTCACGGATTGGCAAGACAAAGCCAGGACAAGGATAACATCGGGGGAGGATATATCAAAAGCCAGGACGAGGGTAAAATTTTGGGAGGGCCCTCTCGGATTGGCAAGACAAAGCCAGGTCGAGGATAACATCGGGAGAGGATCGATCAAAAGCCAGGACGAGGGTAAAATCGGGAGAGGGCCCTCACGGGTTGGCAAGACAAAGCCAGGACGAGGATAACATCAAGGAAGGAGAGATCATAAGCCAGGACGAGGATCAAATCTGAGGAGGGCCCTCACGGGGTGGCAAAACAAGGCCAAGACGAGGATGACATCGGGGGAGGATAGATCAAAAGCCAGGACGAGGGTAAGATCGGGGGAGGGCCCTCACGGGTTGGCAAGACAAAGCGGCTATGGAGGATGTCTCCGTCGCCGCGGATTTCTCGGAGCGCCACGGAACGCTCTCGTCCTCGCTCCGGAACGCTCTGAGCCTCGTCCTGGCCCCGCCCGAATGGGTCCAGGTCGAAAGACGCCGCAGAGATGCGGTCAAAAGGGGCAGTGTTGCATTTTGCTTCGCGATGAGGAGGAGGAGGCGAAGGCGGAGGAGGAGGAGGAGGAGGAGGAGGAGGAAGAGGTTGAGGAGGAGGAGGCGGAGGAGGAGGAGGGAGGAGAAGGAGGAGGGAGGAGGGAGGAGAAGGAGGAGGGAGGAGGGAGGAGGGAGGAGGGAGGAGGGAGGAGGGAGGAGGGAGGAGTCGGATCTCGGGGCCGGGAGGCTCCCAGAGGGCTGCTGGGAAGCTCGGCGGCAGGACCCGGAAGCCCGCAGACGGGCCGGCTGGAGCCGGCATTACATCGGGCGTGTCCCCCCAGAGGGAAATTTCAAACGGAAAGCGAAACATAGCAAAACAAATACCCCAAACATATACAAAAATAATCCAAACATCGCCCCCTGACAATTTTTGACTACTTTTGAATATTTTCCCCCTGTAGAGGGACAGGCCCGACTGAAAGCCGGCACTATCACAGATTGAAGGGCCTGCGACGCACCCCGCAGGCGCCAGCGCATCTTTCGGAGCCCTCCAGAAAAAAAACCATGACATCCAACAACCCTCGGCACCAATTTTTTCCAGACGGCGGCACAACAAAAGACTGCAGTGCAGGATTACCTGAAGAAGCTCAGACAGACCACCCCCTCAATAGCCCCAGAGAAAGGCCCGAATCCTGCAGCGCCAAAAAAACACACAACGACCCGATCTGACCTTGCAGGCCAGGATGTCGCTTCCCCAACTTGCCAACGACCATGATAGCCTGTGTCCTCTTCTCATGCAGGCATCTGTGTCTTGGTTATTGGCAAATGTGGTCTTTCGTACAACATGCAATAGTTTATCATGTGAAGCATGGACCGTGGCAACCACGTGCTGATTTGTTCGACGCGCGCATCCCGCACGAGCGATTGCGCTCGTTTTAGAGACCTCCTTTGCAGAGGACCCATGTGCTCAGGTCGGGCATGTCCCCCTACATGCGGATTTTGGACGACAAAATAAGACATAGTCCAAAAATACTCAAACATGGTAACACACACTAGAGAAATCGTGCCCAGACTATTTTTTGACTGCTTCTTGAATACACCCCCTGTAGAGGGACATGCCCGACTTAACCACATGCCCGAACCCGAGTGCTGCAGCGGAGGCCACCGAAGGCTCCTGCGGATCCTCCGACGGAGCCCCTGAGGTCAGGGAGGACGCCGCCTGAGGCGTCATACGGGATATATCGTCCCGGTGCCGGCCCTTCCCCAGACCCAAAGAGGTGACGTGGTGAAAGCGTTGGCTCGGGCATGTCCCCCTACAAAAGGATATCGGATTTGGGACGAAAAATGAAAATCATTAAACGATCCTTCGACATTTTCAAACATGGCCAAAATATCGTCCCCAGAGTATGTTCTATAATATTTTGGAAAATTCCTCCTGTAGAGGGGCAGGCCCGACTTAATGAAAGCGCCGTGAGACTGGGGCGCGGATTGATGGGAGACGATCAATGAGGGCGGGGGGGGGGGGGGGGGACGATGCCCCTCTTCAAGCCCCGAAGGCCTCCCGTTTGGGCCCGAAAGAGCCCCTTGAGGGGCCCGACCCCTCTCCTGCAGCCCTCGCTGCCCCCCTGTTGATCGCCCCCGCCCCACTACGCCGAGGAAGCGAAGGCGAGGCCCTTTCTGGGAATGCCTCTCGTGGTGGAGCACCGCGGGACGCTACATGTGAACAGCTGTAAGACAGCTCGCCGCTTGGGCCCCGCGGCGAGCCCAAACGGACACCGATCGGGCGCAGCCACGTAGAAATTGCAAGGTCCACCCAGTTCGCTGGTCCCCGTCGGCTGTCGGTCTGGTCGTCGCCGGCCTCAGTCTGGTCGTGGTCGTTGTGGCCGTCGTGGTCGCCGTCGTCGTCGTCGTCGTCGTGTTCGCCTTCCTCTCAGCTGCGTGTGCCTTGTTCCTTCCAGTGCCTGCCCTCTTCCCCCTTCCCCGACCGAGAACGAAACTGCCTGCAGCCTGTTGCGCCACAGACTGCGCGCTCGGCCGCCGAGCACAAGCAGGCGTGCGACTGGCTTTCAGCCACAGGTTCCGCCTGCGGCCGCAGAGAAGGAAGCGTCGTGCGCTCGGTTGCGCCGTCGGTTGCACGCTCGGCCGCTGAGGCGAAAAGGTGCCTGCGACCTGCTGCGCCATCAGCTGCGCGCTCGGCAGCCTGGAGCAGAATGGCCCGCTGCTGGCTGCGCCCTGGGTGCTGGGCTCGGCCGCCCGGGTAAGGAACGGCCGGCTTCTGGCTGCGCGATGGGTTCCGCGCTCGGCCACCGATAATAGAACGGCCACCTGCAGTCGGGCAGCTGAAATAAGGAGCGCCAGATAAGGAACGGACGAATATCATTTGACCGATCCCCACCCCGAGCGGCGTGGCCTGGGCCCCGCTGGCCGATTTGCCGCCGCTAAACAAGGATATGTAGGACGTTCCCTTCGGGCTTCGAGGGGTGCACTCCCAACTGGGGTGGTAATTTGGTGGGGGTCTCGAAGGGGATGGGAATGGGAATGGAGGAGGAGGAGGAGGAGGAGGAGAGGAGGAGGAGAGGAGGAGGAGGAGGAGGAGGAGGGAGGAGGGGAGGAGGAGGGACGGAGGAGAGGGAGGGAGGGAGGAGGAGGAGGAGGAGGAGGAGGAGGAGGAGGAGGAGGAGGGAGGAGGAGGAGGAGGAGGAGGAGGGAGGATGGGGATGGGGATCGGTTAAACGATACCGAACTGAGCCCCCTCTTGGCCCCGCCAGCGCCTATGCGTGGACAAGAGGGGCGCCAGAGAGAAGCAGCCACGGAATGCCCCGAGGAACAGCGAGTCCCTTCCAGACCTAAGCTGCTCCCAATTTTGAATATCTTCGCTGTAGACCACCTCCCCAGCCCCCCCCCCGCTGCTGCTAGTGGTGGGCTCGCGAGTCCGCCGACACCAATCCTGCCCCTCCACCGTGTCTGGGGCCTGTGATGGAGGGGGTTTAAAAATGTGAGGTTGCCAATCGCCAGGCAGCGGTGCGTCCACGCGGCAGCATCCGCTGCCCCCCAGGACGGGATGGCCCGCCTGTGTGGACCTGCCTCAGGTCCCAGGGCCCCGAGGGAAGCCCCCCCCCCGGACTCCTCCTCGCGCTGGCCGGGGCGCCTCCACCTCTGGCCTGGGCGGCTTGGGCACCGAGGGCTTGTTGGCCGCCTTCAGGATGGCGGCCTTGAGCTCCTGCGTCCGAGGAGGGGGGAGGAGGGGAAGAGGGGGGAAGGGGCAGGGAGCGGGAACGACCAGGAGGAAGGAAGAGCGGGGGGGGGGAGAGGAAGCATGGAGGGAGAGGCAAGGAGAGGCAGGAGGGAAAGGAAGGATGTGACCTGTAGAAGCAGGACGAGGACAAGGCGCTGCGCTTGGGGAGATGAGTCCGCAGCAGCAGCAGCACCCACTCGGGCCCTTCAGGCCTCCCTGCGAGTGCAAACGTACGCAGGGCCTCGGATCGGCACAAATCTGGGAGGGGAAAATGAAGGAAGAGGGGGGGAGGGGAAGGTGAGGAGCGCGAGGATGGAGAGAGTGGAGGAGAGGGGGAAGAGAGGGAAGGGGAAGGAGAAAGAGAAGGGGGAGACTTGCAAGAAGGGATCGGGAGACGGGGAGGAGGAAGAGAGTGAGCAGGACCATTGGTGAGAACGGAAGGTGGAGGTCACAAAAATGAGCAATAGAACAGAAAGGAATGCATGCACGGCATAGGCAGTCGAGAGAAAGATAACTACAGTCAACACTAACAGGGGGGAAACAGAGGAGAAGGAGGAGGAGGAGGAGGAGGGAAGATGGCGGAGGCTGAGGAGCAGCAAACAACAGTGGGTAGACGAGAGGCGTGAGGAGCAGAGTAGTTAGCGAGGAAGATGATGATGATGATCATCATCATCATCACCATCATCAGAATTTTCATCAGTATCATCAGCATCTTCATCACCACCACCACCATCATCATGATAATCAGCATCATCATCATCCTCATCCTCATCCTCATCCTCATCCTCATCATCATCATCATCATACTCATCATCATCATCATCATCATCATCATCAGTATCTTCATCTTCATCTTCATCTTCATCTTCATCATCATCATCATCATCATCATCGCCACCTTCACCACCATCACCATCATGATAATCATCACCATCATCCTTATCCTCATCCTCATCCTCATCATCAGCAGCATCGGAAGCATCAATATCAGCATCAGCATGATAGACAGCATCGGCATCCACATTAGCATCGGCATCGCCATCCATATCATCATGATCATCATTGACATCATCATCATCATCATCATCATCATCATCATCATCATCATTATCATCATCATCATAATCATCATCATCATCATCATAATCGTCATCATCACCATCATCATAGTCATCATCAACATCATCAGCGGCATCATCATCACCATCAGCGTCACCGGCAGAAGCAGCAGCATCACCATCGTTATCGTCAGCGTCATCGGCATCGGCATCGGCATCATCATCATCATCATCATCATCATCATCATCATCATCATCATCATCATCATCATCAGCAGCAGCAGCAGCAGCAGCAGCAGCAGAAGCAGAAGCAGCAGCAGCATCATGAGATCATGCTGCACCCCGCTGGCCGCCCCGGTCCTCGACGGCCTTGGCCTTGTCGGGGTCCACCTGTGCGCGCGGGCGGGCGCCTGCCAGAGGAGAGGGAGGGGAGAGGGGGGCGGCGGAGGAGGAGGAGGCGGAGGAGAAGGAGGAGGAGGAGCAGGAGGAGGAGCAGGGAGGGAGGCAAGCCGTTTGTGCGCCATGCGCTGCGACCCCACCTCTCCCACCACCCCTTCCAGTTGCGCTATTTGTTTCTCTCTATCCGCCGATGCGTCTGCCCTGGCGAACCTGGGCTCCAAAGGGAGAGGAGGAGGGGGGCGAGAGCAGGGAGGGAAGGGATGCAGGAATGGTAGTGGGCCGGCGCAGATTAGCGACGGCAAGTCACGGTATGACAGAGGCGGCTATACGCCGGCATGGCTACTATAATGTTCAATGGAATTCTTCATACTGCTAAATGGAACAATTGTCGAATCCAACAAAAATCCCTGGAACCCCCCACGGACAACCCAGATAGCACAGGCTGGTTAATGATGGCAAGAAAACACACCCTGAACAACCTTGGACAACCCAGCCAGCGGGGATCTGGACAAACCCTCCGGACAACTCGTGCGGGTGGTACTGGGTGGTAACCTGAATAGGGGGTGAAGAAAAGGGTCCAGAAAGGCGCCCGAAAGTGCCCTTGTAGGGCCCATTTAGGTCAACCCCATTCCCACCCCGCGAACAACCACCGGACCCCCCACCCCCTCTGACACCCCCACCCTCCTGGACCTTCTGTGTGTACTGTTTTAAGAACCCTGCACCCTGCAATAAACGACGCCGGGACTCCCCACCCCCTCTGACACCCCCACCCTCATGCACCTTCAACGTGTACTGTTTTCGAAACCCTGCACCCTACAAAAAACCACGCCAAGACCCCCTATCCCCTCTGACACCCTCACCCTCCTGGACCTTCTGTGTGTACTATTCTAGAGACCCTGCACCCTACAAAAAACCACGCCAAGACCCCCCACCCCCTATGACACCCCAACCCTCCTGGACCTTCTGTGGGTACTGTTCTAGAGACCCTGCACCCTGCAAAAAACCACGGCAGGACCCCCACCCCCTCTGAAACCCTCACCCTCCTGGACCTTCTGTGTGTAATGCTCTAGAGACCCTGCACCCCACAAAAAACGGCGCCAGGACCCCCACCCCCTATGACACCCCCACCCTCCTGGACCTTCTGTGTGTACTGTTTGAAAGACCCTGCACCCTGCAAAAAACGACAGCAGCCGCCAAGAGCTGCAAAGATCATAGCCCCGCCCGGTTTCCTCGTCCCGGCAAGATAGAACAAGATGAACATAAACTTTTGGCGCTCCGCGCCGATGTCGTGGATCTGCGCTGGACCTCCTCCCCTGGCGTGCGGAGAGCTCCAGGGGCGGCGCCGGTGGAGCCGCGTAGGAACCCACGCGCGAATCCAAAAACTCCGCGCGGAGCGCCGAACGCCTACTTTTATGGCGCTTTCGTCGGTGAGCTTCGTCCACGCTGATCGACGCGAAGTCGACGGTCATCGAGGCTAACCGATGCTAACTCGGCGCGCCCACATCCACTCCCAGATGCCTATCGACGCTTGTCGACGCTGACACAAACAGTGAAGGCTACACCAGGCTCCCCTGATAGACTACCGATACACGTCGGCAGTGCAGCGGCGACACCGTCGTGGAGAACATGGCGCTGCGCATCACGCCGCATCGTCGATGCATCGGCGATGCGGCGCGATCCTCCGACCCCATCTCCCCGACACCATCTGGGAGGCCTACATCCTAGCCCCGTCCCTGGGGAACCTGAGAGGTACCGATACCGTTTCTCCTCGGACCTCTCCTGGGGGCGTTCTAACTAGCACTTCGATGCGAACGCAGCGGTGGCAACGAAAGCCTCCGAGAAGGCTGCCAAAAGGCACGGGCGAATGGGAGCGGTATGGGCACCATTTCCTCCTCGGAGTCCCTGACATGCGACGTCCTGTTTTTGTTCAAGGCGACGTCCCTGAAAGCCACAACCCTTTCCCCAGGACCAGTTGTTCTTCCCGAGATTTCTTTTTGCCGGTAGACAAAAACCGCCCGTCCTCATTTGAGTACGACACGATCATGTTTGGGGTCCTGGCCCCGTCCCCCCCCCCCGCCTCTGCTCCGCATTCCTCCTCCTCGTCCTCCTCCTCCTCCTCCTTCTCGTCCTCTCCATCCGCCTCCTCCTCCAACTCCTCGTCCTGTCCTGCTCCTCCTCCTCCTCCTCCTCCTCCTCCTCGTCCTCCTCCTCCTCCCCCTCCTCCTCCTCCTCCATCTCCTCCTCCTCCCTCCTCCTCCTCCTCCTCTTCTTCTCCTCCTCCTCCTCCTCCCTCCTCCTCCTCCTCCTCCTCCTCCTCCTCCGCCTATGGCGTCGCTTTACCTGCACTGGCGTTGGAGTATTGTCGAAGCAGTTCCCGAAAACACGCCCCCGAGAGTCGCCCACGCGACAAAAGACCATGACCACGTGAGGTGAGAACCGAAGTGCATGACCCAAAGTTGCAAGAGGATCTCAGGCGAAACGAACAGTCCACGGCAACTGCAAACCCAGAGCGGCAAGGAACGGGGTCGGACACCGTGAGACAAGAGCATCGACGAACCCAGCATAACAAAAATGGATCGGGCGAAAATGGCTGGACGACCGCAGGCCGGGTCATATCCGAGCCCAAAGATGTGAGGAATATGAAGCGAAACTAGCTGGACCAGTTCACATCAGGGCATCAATGAGCCCTGAGTTGCGAGAGTGTGCGAGGAAAAGCTGGAGGGATTTTGCGCGCGCCTCGAAGTCTACAACTGCGAGGATGTCACAAGCGAAAAGGCGTGGACCGCATCAGGACAGCGGCGCGGCATCTCGAAGCCCACAATTGCAAAGATGTCCCAAGCCAAACCGACCGGACCGCCTCGCAAACGGCACCCCGGGGACCCAACAAAACGATATTGGCTTCGCCGCCACCAGCCGGGACAATTTCTCGCATGGGGTCTCCTAGCGCATACTCCCCCCCGCCGTCTGGGCCGGAAATGATCCACCGCGATTCCTCGTCCGACCCCACTGCTCCCCTTCGGGGATGGGGTCATCGCTGTTCCTGGATAATTTTTACTACCTCGCCCAATCTATCAACCGCTAACCCGATGTACTGCCACCCCCCACGACTCAAACACAGAAGCCACGAGAAATACTTCAGGACGGCTTCCCCATTGGAGCTCGACAGTGCGATGCGATCCGTCAGAACCATGATCGCCGAAATATTATGACTATGTAGATCCGCCACCGTGCTTCATGGCACGGAGATGGGCGTGCCCTAAGGTTCGCACCATCACCCTCTCAACCTCAGTCCGTACTCCTGAGGAGTCGCTCAGAAGCCTGAACCCCACATCGCGAAGTCTTCTCACGGGGGGCCTCTGGCGGTCTCTCGCGTCACTGTTTCGGAGCGATGGGAACCTCCAAGCAGGCCAACAGAGCCCCCGAAAAAGCACCCAAGACGGCCCCAACCGCCCCGACTGCTCAAAGATCGCCCCAAGACACCTTACGTGGCGCCCACAGGCCCAAGAAGCCCCCAAGATGTCCCAAGAAGCCTCGCATATGCTTGCCGACCAGACCTGAAGAGACACGACACATTTATTTGCCTTCGTTGGTTCAAACATTCCGGCGTTCCCGAGGTCCCGCATGCCACCCCACCACTGCCCAAGAGGCCGGTCAGAGAACCCAATGACGGCCCCAAAAATGGCCAAAGAGAAGGAGCACTTACCACAAATCGTAACGTTCCCCCACAAGGAGCCCCCAAGAGACTCCCCAACAAGCCCCAACAGGCTGCAAGAAACCCCCAAGAGGCCCATAAGCGACCCCACGAGGCTCCAAAACTGCGCCCAAAAGAAATCCGAGATGCAAGATAGAATCTGGAGACTCGTCTGAACCCTTCCTGCCGTGCTCGGAAAAGTACCCCGACAACAAACGAAACAAACATTCGTCGCTCAATTGGGGTCGGCGGCAGAGGCGGCAGCCTTTGGATATGTATGTACGTATATACATATATATATATAAATATATATATATACATGTGTGAAAAACAATATAACGCCGGCTACAGTGGCTCGCAGTGCTGGGGAAAAAAGACCAGGCTGTTTGATCAAAATGCCGCCGCTCCCTTCGAAGAGAGCAGCGGAAGAAGTAAACGGACACGACGCCGTCGTTTCCTCCTCCTCCTCCTCCTCCTCCTCCTTCTCCTCCTCCTCCTCCTCCTCCTCCTCCTCCTCCTCCTCTTCATTTGGGAGCATTGGGCCCAGAGGCGGAAAAACGACGCCGTCGCTTCCTCCTCTGGGCCCAACGTTCCCCCGGGAGCGCCCCCCCCTCCGCGCGGCCTCCCGGGCCAACTTCACGTCCCGCTTCGGGCTGCCGGCCCCGAGGGCGCCTCCCCCGGACGCCGCGCGCGCACGCGCGCGATAGGGAGGGCGACGAGGGAGGGCGGGCGGGAGGAGGATGGCAGGGGGTAGGCGGAGACACACGAGGGGCGCGCCCAGACGGCGCCTTGGCAAGAAAGCTGCGACGAGTAGTGAGGCGCAGGTACACCCTGCGAAATGCTTAAGAAATCATGGGTTAAGAAATTCATAGTCTCAGAACTTGAGTAAAAACCCAAAATTTCCATTCAAATCTTAGGATTTACATTGAAAAGTTAAGAATAATCGAGACTCTGGACGAAAACTTAAGTTTTCTTAAGCATCGCCTAAGGTGTAGGCACATGCAAACAAAAAAACATAATAATGGATTGCGCTGCCGGCGGCTGGGGGGCAGACCGTTGGCCAGCCCCCGTGCCGAGTGGGAGGCCACTGACAGGGGAGATGGCGATCCTGAACCTCTGCTCTGTGGGTTTTCGGCTGGACAACAGATTCGGGGGCCATCGCGCTGATGTGGGGTGGAGGGGTGTGTCCATCCTCAACAGGGGTGCGTCTGAACAGCCCCCTGGACGTTCGTCTCCGAGTTCCCATTATGTTTCCTGAGCGGCCCCAACTGTTCGCGGAAGTCGGGGGCTGGGGGCCAGA